CCATAGTTCATAAAAAAGAAAGGATATTCAAGTAAAGAAGGGTTAAAAGCAACAGGAGTCGCTAGAACCAGAAAAGAAGATACACGACAATGGAGTAAGGAGAAGGAGGCACACAAATTCAATGTGAAAAACACATAAAGAATGAATGAATTCCCTCACATCGCTATTTATAAGAATTTGGGCATCAAAACTAAGAAATTATGCCATCTTTACTCAGCACTGGAATCGAAACGACAGTCTTAACCGACAGACGTATAGGAAACGATGCAAAGCATCAAAAAAATACGCCATGATGACGCATGATGTCATGATGTCACTCTAGTGTAGAAACGACGTAACCCTAAAAGTTGCGACCCACGAAAGGCCACGTCGTCAGCTCGTCTCAAACATCACTACCCGGCCCACTCGTCCAATCTTCTCGACCACTACAAATAGAATCCGCTCATCAACGCCGGCTGAGCTCGGCCTCAATAAGTGGAGGAACTAACTGTATAGGTCGAAATCTACCCCAGAATATTTAGGGCAAGGTAACATTGAGAAAAGAGTCAGTCGAGGTCGACCAAGAAACAACGGGACTCGTGGTCAAGGTGTCAACAATGGTCGAGGTCGAGCACCATAGAAAGAGTTGTAACGACTAGTTTTTAGAATAGGATATCAAAGAGAATATTCTAGTAGATATTCTCTGCACTTGTACTATTATAGTTTGTTAGGGATATGTCCCATATAAATAGGAAAAAAGACAATGAATGAGGGCATGTGACATTCATTTGATAAGAGCAGACTTTTGATAAAAGATTCTCTCTCTTGTAAAGATACAAACATCACATTTTCATCAAGATTCTTGTTCATATTATCCCATACTTTTCCATCAGATCCGAGAATAATTCGAATATTCTAGGATTTGTCTGTCACTCATCTTTGTCAGGAGGAACCATCATCTAGTTCATCCTTTATTGGGTGAATCACTTGTCCTATTTACTTAAATGCCATTTATTGTTATTTATTACTAGTTATTTCTCCATTATTGTTCATACTTTTCGGAATATTTAATACATGTTATCAATCCACCACCAGATCTATTTAGTGTCAGCCACATTTTCGGAACTCACATCTAGAGATATTATTATTAACTAAGTTTAACTCATCATTATATAAATACAATTATTTTAGCCGAAAATTACGTTTTTTGGTCAAACAAAGAATAGGTAACGTTAATATTGTTTGAGAGGCTTATAAGTTTAATAAGAGTATTTAATTATTAAAGTTAGAAGAAGATAATTTACAATAATATAGAAATATTATTATCCAACAATAACAAAGTTATTACTTGTTGTAAAGACATTAAAACAAAAGAGGTGAGCATGATTTTGCTACTCGCAATAGAATTAGTGTTGGATCGATGTGGTTATATTTCTTCACATCCAGTATTTTTTAAATGATATCAAATTACCATGAGTAAGTAATTTAATGAGGCAAAATGTATATTACTATTCATAATTAAATGAAAAAGCTTATGTACAAATATATTTTATACATCTATTAATTTGATGCAAACTCTTAGGGATCGTTTGGTATGGTGTATAGGAAGAAATAATTATGGTATAAGGGAGTTGTTATAGTTATTTTATATTTGGTATAGAGGCTAAGACTGCGGCATATGGAGAGGCGAGTGTGTATGGAGAGGTATAAGGTAGCTAGGAAGGAGGCTAAGTTAGCGGTCACAGAGGCTAAGATTGCGACTTATGATCGTATGTACGAGGAATTGGGAAAAAAAGGTGGGGAGAAGAAGTTATTCCGGCTGGCCAAGTTGAGAGAGAGGAAGGCTCGGGATTTGGACCAAGTGAGATGCATCAAGGACGAAGATGGTAGAGTATTGATGGAAGATGCCCAGATTAAGAGGAGATGGCAGACTTACTTTCATAAACTTCTGAATGAAGAAGGGGATCGAGATATTGTGCTAGGTGAATTGGAGCATTCCGAGAGTCACCGTGACTTTAGGTACTGCAGGCGTATCGAGGTTGAGGAGGTCGTGAGAGCTATGCGTAAGATGAGTAGGAGCAGAGCGACCGGGCCAGACAAAATTTCGGTGGAATTTTGGAAGTGTGTGGGGAGAGCAGGTTTGGAGTAGTTGACTAGGTTGTTTAATATTATTTTTAAGGGGAAGAGGATGCCAGATGAGTGAAAGTGGAGTACGGTGGTTCCATTGTATAAGAACAAAGGTGATATCCAGAGTTGTAACAATTATAGGGGTATTAAATTAGTGAGTCCTACCATAAAAGTGTGGGAGAGGGTGGTTGAAGCGAGGGTGAGGATGACAGTGTCTGTATCCGACAACCAGTTCGGGTTCATGCCGGGTCGTTCGACTACAGAAGCTATACACCTTGTTAGAAGGTTGGTGGAACTTTACAGAGAGAGGAAGAAGGATCTGCATATGGTGTTTATTGACCTAGAGAAAGCGTATGACAAGGTTCCTAGAGAAATTCTCTGGAGATGCCTGGAGGCAAAAGGTGTGTCGGTTCCCTACATTATGGCGATTAAGGACATGTATGATGGGGCTAAGACTCGGGTTAGGACAGTAGGAGGCGACTCTGAGCATTTTTCGGTTGTAATGGGGTTACACCAAGGTTCTGCACTCAGTCCGTTCTTATTCGCCCTGGTGATGGACGCGTTAACACACCATATTCAAGGGGATGTGCCATGGTGCATGCTATTCGCCGATGACATAGTTCTGATTGATGAGTCGCGAGCCGGTGTTAACGAGAGGCTGGAGGTTTGGAGACAGGCTCTTGAGTCTAAGGGTTTCAAGCTGAGCAGGACGAAGACGGAATACCTGGAGTGTAAGTTCAGCGCTGAGCCAGGGGAAGAGGGCGTGGATGTGAGGCTTGATTCGCAGGTCATCCCGAGTAGAGGCAGCTTCAAGTACCTTGGTTCGGTTATCCAGGGGGAAGGGGAGATCGACGAGGATGTCACACACCGTATTGGGGTAGGATGGATGAAGTGGAGGTTAGCATCTAGAGTCCTGTGTGATAAGAGAGTGCCACCGATACTCAAAGGTAAGTTTTATAAAGCGGTGGTTAGACCGACCATGATGTATGAGGCTGAGTTTTAGCCCGTTAAGAACTCACATATCCAGAAGATCAAAATAGCAGAAATGAGGATGTTGCGGTGGATGTGCGGGCATACTAGGATAGATAAGATTAGGAATGATGATATCCGGGAGAAGGTGCATGTGGCTCCCATTGATGACAAGATGCGGGAAGCGAGGCTTAGATGGTTCGGACATGTCCAGAGGAGAAGCCCTGATGCTCCGGTAAGGAGGTGTGAGCAGCTGGTTGTGGAAGGCACGAGAAGAGTTAGAAGGCGACCTAAGAAGTATTGGGGAGAGGTGATCAGGCAGGGTATGGCGAGGCTCTAGATTTCCGAGGACATGTCACTTGATAGGAAGATGTGGAGGTCAAGCATTAGGGTTGTAGGTTAGGAGGTAGTTGAGTCGTGCCTTACTTCGTACCATTGTGGGACTAGCCATGTAGGGTTTTTGTCTAAGATAGCTAGTGGCAATGTTGTGGCTTACTATTTCGCTTTTCAGTGCATGTCCTATTTACTAGCTATCGCTTTTGCTTTGCATCTTTCTTCTAGATTTCATGGTGTTCCTATTTTTCTTATGATTGTTGTGGTGATACTAATATTTACTAATATTGTCTCCCTTTGCTTTGCATCTTTTTTCTGGATTTCATGGTATTTCTATTTATCCTATGATTGTTGTTGTGATACTAATATTGTCTCCTTTTTGTCTTTTTATTTTTTTTAGCCGAAGGTCTTTCGGAAACAGCCTCTCTACTCATTCGGGGTAGGGGTAAGGTCTGCGTACACACTACCCTCCCAGATCCCATTAGTGAAATTTTACTGGGTCGTTGTTATTGTTGTTGTATATATTTTCTATCTATGTATAATGTAGAGTTAATTCTTGTATAAAGTTATACACAATGTTGGTATAACTTTATAATACTATCAACATGGAATAATTAATACATGCATAATTTATACATGGATAAAACAATAAAAGCACACAAGTTTTTTTTCTTCCTAGAAGCCTATGAAAGTAAAGTATCATTGTAAACTCATAACCTTTTAGTTCAATAAACCAAACACACAACATGAAATAATTCCTACATTATTAATTAACTAATTCCTGCATTATTAATTTATGTATATTTTGTTTTCGAATGGAATGAGGTTTCTCAGAATTTTCCCTAATTTTGTCTTAGCGATGACAGTGATTGCAAGTTTACCGTTGAAAGACCTCATGATGTAAACTTAATCTCTCTAATTATGGGTAATTTTTGGGGTTTCGAAATTAATTAATAGGTGTGGAGAGTGCACTTTTTGTCATACTATGAATCTGGCAAATATTAAATTGGACATAGAGCCCTACTCCCTACCCCCAGCAAAATCATCTTCACATTCAACTAAAGACAAACAACATTTCATCATCTTCCCCCCATAGTTTTGCATTGTTAGCCCCTTTTTTCTCATTCTACAAACTCCACAGTCACCCTCCCTTTCTGTTCTTCTACCAGATACGCACCATACAAAACACAGCTTTTTACAGTTTCAGACCCCACTATAATCCAATGTCTATAACAATGTACTGAAAACCAAGAAATCAATGTCCTATCCTAGCTAATGGACTTAGACAGACCCTATCACCGCACCAACACTACTACTACTACTACTACAACCAGTGAACTTTTCATCTGCTTCACTTCTCGTCTTTCTTCTTCTTCATCAGCAATGAAGCTTTCCAAATCTATTCTTAGCCCTAGCCATGCTCGTGACCCACCTCTCTCTCTTCCCACTTCCCTCAGCCGCAGGCTTAAAACCAATGGCAGTATAAAGGGTGGCCGTCCCCTATGTTTCCCTGCACTAACAAGAAACGTGGGTCTAATTTTGAAAACCCAGAACCATCTTCTCCTAAAGTAACGTGCATTGGTCAAGTGAAAATGAAAACCAAGAAAAAAGTAAAACACTCACGTAGCTTGTCCAAAAGAAGGGGCGATGGAAGTTTCAGGAAAATAGAACAAGCCCCTGATGTATTGAATCAAAGGAGTTTAAGTGTGCATTTTCAGCCACCACAAGAATGTGCGGCACATAGAAATCAGAGGTGGGTTCATTTGCCATTGACGATATACGAAGCTTTGAGGGAGTTCAGCTGTTTATTTCCTTGTCGTTCGTCGTGTTTTTCGACGAACGAAAAGGAAAAGGAAGAGAAAATTAACGGATCTAAGTGTGCTTTTGCTAGATGGCTAGTTGCATTACAAAATGGGGAAGCAGAAAAAAATAGAGACATTGAGTTTGTGGTAGCTAATAATGGGGAAGAAGAAGAAAAGGAGAGAATTGAGGAAATGAAAAGTAGAATGAGGAGTTCGAGAAGGCATGTGTTTGAAGATATTGAGTTTAAGGATATTGAGACTAATGTAAAAAAGAAGGAATTAGGAGTACGAGAGGAAGAAGAGAAAGCCAGAGTTAGCATTTGCGTTCCGCCTAAGAATGCTTTGCTTTTAATGAGATGTCGATCTGATCCTATGAAAATGGCCGATCTTACCAATAAATTCTGGGAATCACCTGCTCGAAAAGTAAATAATGAAAAAGAAGAAATTGGAGAAAATGAGCAGGTGGAAAAAGAACTAGCAGATGCAGAGAAATTTGAGTTGAATAATGAGCTTGAAGTGATTGACAAAGGGTGCGAAGAGACGGAGGAAACCAGTGATTCAGTAAATCTTGTGGAAAATGAAGAGATCTCAGAATCAGTGGAGATTATGGAAATGGAGATAGCAAGTAGTAAAGACGAAGAAAAGCTCAAGCGCATCGAATTAGAGCCAGAAACAGAGCAAGAAGATGAAGAAGAGAGTGAGATAAATCCAATTGTAGCAGAAATTAACTCCATTGGACAAGTAGAAGAATCAACTATAGATCAAACAACAGAAAACATTGAAGATAACAAAGTCACAGAACCAGAGAAAGAAGAAGAAGAAGAAGAAGAAGAAGAAGAAGAAGAAGAAGAAGAAGAAGAAGAAGAAGAAGGCAGCATTCAGAGCTATTCATCATTTTCAGAAAACTCTAGCGAATCCAGAGAAGATACATCGGAAGCAACAGAAGAAGAAGACGAAACATTCAATTCTACTATAAATAAAGAAATCGAAGAAACACTATTGTCGGGACACATTGACGAAGATGAAGAAGAAGAAATAGCAACAAAATCTGATGGAGAAATTGCGGCCACAGAAAAGAATGAAGTCGAAAAAGGAGATATAATTAAATCAGTTCTACCAGATTGCTTGCTAATGATGATGTACGAACCAAAATTATCAATGGAGGTATCCAAAGAAACATGGGTACACAGCACTGACTTCATTTTACCAGAGAGAGAAAAACAAGCCAAATCAGTGAAGAAAAGGATTAGCATCGAATCTAAACCTCCGCACCCAGCGTCGGATAACAGGAGCGATCAACAGCTGCTGGTACCGCCGAGGTCTTCGTGTTGCCTGCCGGCGGCCGGCGTTCCGCCGATGTCCATGGCGACGATGATAGAACAGAAACTGGTGAAAGCAATGGCTTACGAGCCGTTCGTGTTGACGAGATGCAAGTCCGAGCCGATGAGGACGGCGGCGGCTAAGGTTGCGCCGGAGAGTTGTTTCTGGAAGAATAGGAAGTTTGAGCCGCATCGGCCCGCTACGTACGGAGTCGGGTTTTGAGCTGACCCGAATCGACAAGATTATACCCTGTGGTTGGTCGTACTGGAGAACCGTAGTCTTGCACAGGTGCTCAGGTTGTACATTTTCTTTTAAACTTTTTGTCATTAATGAATTATTATTAGTAGAAGTAATCCTTTTCAGTTTTTAAATTTTTGGGTTTTTCATGATTGGATTTAAGATTATGTACTGATGTTGTAAAAATGAATTTTGCTCATTGTAATTTAATCGGTCTAACAAATTAAGCTCTTTCATGTTTTTGGTTTCCACTTGATTCGTTCAGACATATTATTAATTTTTAAACAATTTGATTGTATAAATATTCTCTAATACATTTGAACTTTAATTGATTTCACCAATAATTAGTTGCCTTTTCTTTTATTTTAAGTCTCCAATAAGTATGGAAAGAAATAGTAAACTGCTGCTGAGGTCTCTGATTTGGGACATGGGTTTTGTTAAGCTGGTCGATGCGAGGACAGAGTAGATTTTGGACTTGATCCAGATTTAGGCAAATACTATTTAATTGTGTATTAGACATTTATAAATTACTAATGTTTGTACAATGATTGTTTAAAGAAAATGTCGCCACTCGCCACTAAACAAAAATGCAACAATAAAGTGTGACACCTAAACTTAATGTTTCAAGCACTAATTATTGTACTACGTATTTTTATTGGAATTAATCTATATGGTAGTACCAAAACATATAAATAGCTCATAGATACTTCAAGACATTTTAAAAAGGGACAACCTGGTTTTGTATGCTAACTAATCCGTGGCTTGTTCATATTATCATGTGACACAGTCACTTAGATAGCCAGTTCCCAACTAAAAACAGATCTAAAATTTGAAAGACGAATTATGTATCTATTATCTTCTTGTAGCAATAGATCTAACCTTTCTATTTATTGAAGTTCTGAGACATACATATGCTTTAGTTGTTCGATGTTATCTATCTTTTAAAGTTTTGCACACTTCTTAATTATCCTTTATTTTCCTATTTAACGTCTCACTTAATCGACGCTTCACTTGATAAGAGTCTGCCAATTCTCTCTATATACATTACATGATCAAAACGTGAATATATATACACATATGAGGCTTAGGAGTCCTAACTAAACTACAACACTTACGCCAAGTAATGAACTATCCTAAATACAACAGGCTACATATAGTTCCAGGTATCCTAAATAAGATAGTCGCCCAAGATCACGCAAATTATGATTGCAAGCGGCCTATAAGAGAGCTGATGAGAGTGGGACTAGTGCCTAGCACAAGGAGATCATCAACATAGACTAAGCAAAACAACTTCTCTTTCCCAGAGGAGAAGTAGAAGAGGGAACAATCAGTCTTAGATCCAGAGAAGCCATATGAAAGTAAAGCATCTGTCAAACATTTGTTCCACATACGAGGGGCTTAAGCCCATATAACGATCGCTTGAGCAGGCAAACATGGTTAGGATGATTTGGATTCACAAACCCAGGGGGCTGAGACATATACACTACCTCGTCTAAGTGACCATGCAAAAATGCATTGGAGATGTCGAGTTGAGTAATGTGCCAATTATTGGTGACACCCAAGGATAAGAGAATGCGGATGGTGGCATATTTTACTACTGGGCTAAAGGTGTCAACATAATCAACACCAGGGCGTTGATGATATCCCTTCGCAACAAGCCTGGCCTTATAACGGTCCACAGAACCATCAGGCTTTGTTTTGGTCTTGAAAATCCACTTACACCCAATGACATTTTGAGATTCTGATGGAGGAACGAGTTGCCAAGTACCATTCTGAAGAAGTGCATTATACTCGTCATGCATTGCATGACGCCAACGAGCAAATTTTACAGCTTCAGAGTAGCATGCTGGATCTGTAACCTCAATGGTCTTGGCAACAAAGGATGTAGGTTGCTTAGGTTTTAAAGAGACCGTTTGAGACCTAGTGATCATGGTATGAGTTTTAGACTGACCTTGGCTAGAAGAAGACACATCGCGGAGAGCTTTAGACAAAGGTCCAGGTTGCTGTAAGGCATCTATCGATGATGATTTATTTGTCTCATCAAGTGAAGTAGGAGATATTGATGTGTGTAACTGTAAAGGCTGCTCCGTTGAGGAAGAAGAAGGTCCACATGAGGCATCGCATGGCGCTTCTAAAGGGTGTTGGTCGTGGATCGATGATGGCACTTGGACAGTGATAGGATCAGTAGTATGTGTTGATGTAGTGGGCACCGTAGCATCATCCTTAGCCGCAAATGGGAACACATGTTCATAAAAAATAACATGACGTGAGACATAAAATTTTCCAGAATATGGATCAAAACACTTGTAACCTTTATGAATCTTATTATAGCCTAAGAAAATGCATGGTTTAGAACGAGGTGAAAGCTTACTCCTTGTATATGGACGAAAGGAAAGCATAAGCATCCAAAAATGCGTAAAAAATAATAATCAGGATTCATGTTAAACAAAACTTTAAAGGGAGATTGGTGATTCAGACAAGGAGTTGGAAGTCTATTGATAGTGTAAACAGCAATTTCAAAAGCATTAGTCCAAATTTTTTCTGGAACATTAGCATGTGTTAACAATGCACGTCCCTTCTCAACAATATGACGATATTTACGTTCAGCACAACCATTCTGCTATGGGGTGTAGGGACATGAAGAGCGTTGTGTAATACCATTCTTGCGTAAATAAGTAGTTAAGGCTTTAAATTCGCCCCCCCAATCTGCTTGAAAGGATTTGATAGGGCAACCAAAGTATTTTTCAACAATTGTCCGAAATTGGATAAAGACGGACAATACTTCAGATTTAAATTGGAGAAAATAAATCCAGGTATATTTGCTAAAATGATCAAAGATCATAACATAATAGCGATATCCATCATTAGAAGTAACAGGGGCTGGACCCCAAACATCAGAACAAATCAAATCTAAAGGGCCATTGGCCTTAAAACTAGACGCAACAAAAGGAATTTTGTGACTCCTGCTAACAACACAAGCTGAACATAAACTAGGAGACTTATAAGTAGAAGAGCAACAAATATTAGATGGCAAAGCCCGACAAACAGTAGGATAAGAGGCATGAGCTAAGCGAGCATGCCAGACACCAAGTGAAGCAGCATAAGAAGCAGATGAGAGACGCGACTGCAGAGCTGGGAGTGCATATAAACCATCATCTTTCGACCCTTTGTGAAGAATGCCCTTCGTTTTCAAATCCTTAATTAAAAAATAATTAGGAAAGAATTCAATAGAAACCTGATTAGAGGTAGTAAAAGAACTAATGGACAATAAATTTTGTTTGGCATCTGGAACATGAAGAATGTTATCAAGAGAAAATTTACGATTAGTAATAGATATAGAACCTTTTCCAATATGAGAGATGGGTAGTGTTAAACCATTACCTAAGGTTACTTCCTCCGGACCTTGATACTCAGAATGGATGGCTAAATTATCAAGATCAACGGTTAAATGATGCGTGGTGCCACTATCCATCAACCAGTTCTGTCTAAAATATGTTGGAGTGCTTGCTAAATTGGAGGAAGGACGACCAATAACTCTAGGACCATTATTAGATTTAGGTGAAGGGAAAACTCGTGCAATATGACACTTGCCTTCGCAATTGTGACAAATATTTCCAGAAGTGTCATATTTTGCTTGTGTACCAATAGAGTTTAGATGGTTACGATTCTGGAATTACTGGGAATATCCTTGAACACCAGCATGTCCATGACCTCTACCTCGGCCTCGTATGGGTGATGATGAGCTTTGAGTGTAATGAGCAGTGGAGGCTATAACAGTAAGGGCTTCATCCCTTTTTAGTTGTATTTCTTTATTCAATAACATGTCATAAAGGGCATCAAACGAAATATCTTCATGGCAAGATTCAAGGGCTCTTGTGAACGGGCGATATGCAGGGCCTAGACCGGGAAGTACAAACTCAACGAGTTCATCATTATAGACTGGGTGTTGCAGAGCAGCAAGCTTATCTGAAATCGCCTTGGCTCCTTGAACATAGCTCTCAATGGTGGCATTATCTCGACGCAATGTATGCAGTTGCGTCTTTAGTTCACGAACTTGTGGCTTAGAACCTGACGCATAGGCTGTCACGAGCAGTTTCTGATCCAACCAACTAAGGTAAAACACTTTCCGAAATCGAAGAAACAATCTAAATCAACACAAGTTGATCTTGACGAACCCAAGATTTATAGGCTAGATTAGGTTGTTTATCATCTAAAAACTCAGTTGGTGTTGATTCGCTACCATCAATATGATGGTTAAGACCACAACCGCACACCATGGGAAGAAACTGAGTCTTCCATAACAGAAAATTCGACGACGTGAGCTTTACGGGCAGTTGATAAGCACGATTTGGTGTGGAAGGGTATGAAATCATAGTATTGCTTGAAGAGGCTATGTCTTTAGTCCTGGTGTATTATTGTAGTGCTACGATAAAGGGAAAATAAATGATGGCTGTTAAGCCACTATGGCTCCTGATACCATGATAAGAGTCTGCCAATCCTCTCTATATACATTACATGATCAAAACGTGAATATATATACACACATATGAGGCTTAGGAGTCCTAACTAAACTACAACACTTACAAACTATCCTAAATACAACAAGCTATATATAGTTCCAGTTATAGTAGGATTCTACTCTTTACATCACTAACTAAATTAGTAAGAGTAAAGTTGAAAACAAAGTAGTATAAATATTTTTCTTATTTTTTAAAACACATAAAAAAAATCTGAAACAAAGTTAATTTTTTAACAGCTAATATTTGGGAACGAATGGAGTAATTTGAATGCTCAAATGGTGTCTTCAAGAACGACCTTTCTACTTTTACAAGGTTAGGGTAGAATTTATGTATACACCATCTTCTCCAAATTTTACTTTCAGAATTACATAGAATATATTCCTCCTACTTTTGTTGTACCAGCTTTTGAAAGGGACAAAATGGGCTCTATGACGCCCAGATTAGTCCCCTTATGTAACTGTTTACCCTAAAAAATGGATAACAATTAAATTTGTGAGTGATTTTAAGGATACGTGGATTTATTCAATACAAACGGTAGAGATTGCTAGAATCAACAGATAAGAGATGTAATAAATTACCAAACCGCTTGAAAATGAGGGGAGGGACGATTCTGGACTCGAAGGCAGCCTCAATGAGGTATCTGTCTCCGATCCCAGGCTTATAATAATGAAACACTGATCAACAAACGTAAGAGCTTTGAATAACAGAAAAATAATAGTATATTACCTTGGTATGTGTGTTACAATATGCTCAATGAATAATCAGACCCCTTACCTCGATTCCATCTCCTTGTTATCACTTCCCTTACTCGATTTATTTTATCGGAGAGCGGACCGTCTCATGGGTCCGGTTTCACCCGTATATAGATAGTCCCCTCGTTCCTCGGAGAGTAAGTTTTACGGAAACGATGAGGAATGACATGAGTTCTCCGATCTCTTCTTCAACACGCTGCAACACAAAATGACAAAGAAACCAAAACGTCTCATCAATCATGTCATAATGACCCCCAATGTGTGTCAGCCATCGGCAGGGCGCTCCTCGATGCGAAACGGCGCGAAGCCCTTATAAATACCCCCTCTTTCGTTCATTTTTTTTTTACTTTGGACCAAGCTTCTACCTTCGATCCTTCAAGATATTACTGCCTTCCTTCATTCTTCAGTATTTTTACCTTCGTTCTTCAAATTGTAGCCTTTCTTTTACCCCTCACTTAAGCCAGTGTGCTTGATTTTCTTAGCAAATTCTCACCCTTCATCTCCTCATTCTCCTTCATACCTTCAAATCTTTTTATCCAAATAAAAAACATGGCAAAGACTTCCAAGACAGTTCCCCAGAAAGATAATCCTTCTTCTACACAGCCGACCCCTGAGGTCGAGGAGATCACCCCTGACGTGGTCGTCATTGATAGGTACGCTCCAGGTGCGGCCACTGATGAACCGGCAACCGAGCCCCCCTTGAAAATGTTCGTCCCCGGGGGATGTTCGGTTAATGATGACTTCAAGTTCGAAAAGCCCTATCAGTTCAAGGCCGATGCGAGGCGGTGTCACGATACATCTGCTCCATTACTGAGTCCGTTTTTCCTGTAGTTTGAAAGGACTACGGCTGGGCGGATAAGGATGTAGTGATTCTCGGGACTGATGACGACATCACTACTCATGTTGAGGGATATCTAAGTGTTTACACTTATCCCTTTGCATTGGACCCAGTGGACTCGGTCATCTTGGACTTTTGTAGGAGGTACGACGTATGCCTCGGCCAAATCCACCCATCGCTGTGGAGGATCGTGATCCTCCTCTGATTCTTTGTGAATAAAATCGGCTCATGTGCGTTCACCATAGATCATCTACTCCATTTGTACAGTCCCCGAATCTTCCGGGGGAGGGGGGGTGGACTGATAAAGCTTGTACGCTGGGCTATCAAAGCCCCATTTTCAAGTATCGAAGAAGACCAGGATCGGGATTGGCAATGATGCTTTGTCCGGTGAAGACCTCCAACCTGATACCTGCCGAGTGGAGGCCCTTCCCCGAAGGGCGGAACTTATCACGTAAGTACAACTCCTTTAACACGTTGATTTTATGTTTTATCTTCCCTTTTCTCATCGGTGTTTGCTGTAGTGCAGCCCTTGCTCGAGTACCAAACGCCATTCCCCGGCTCAAGGAGTGGATCAGAAGCATTTGTTCCTAGATGCCTTACGCCGAACGCTCATGGCGCGAGCTCTCGAAGGGCCGCTGGGAGGCCCGTTCTCATGGTAAGATTCCTTTCTCCGAGTATGTAGCACTAGACTTTCTTTTTCAACACTATGCTCTCATTGATTCTCTTATTTTTTTTACAGGCTTGCCTAAGACCATCGGGCTTAGGCCCTTGGCAGGGGGCAAGGACTTCTCCGCTGATCCTTCTGCTTCAGGGCACCCCAGAACCACAGCAGGAAAGAAGAAAAGGAAGAGGGCCCCGAGTTCCCCGAGCTCGGAGAAGAAGAAACCGAGGAGAAGGTTGGCTCGTAAGCCAAAGGAAAGCTCCAGCTCTCGAGTGCTTGACTCAGATTCACTCTTCTGGCTCACAGAAGAGCCCGATAAGGACGACCTTTTTGTGGCCCGCGAGCCGTCCGTTCCCGAAGAACAAGTGGCAGCCGAAGGGGGAAATGACAGGGGCTAATCCCCCTCAAGTTCATGAGGCTTGTATAGAGGTGAGGGTCGAGGCCTCTCGAGTCGCCGGCTCTGCCCCTCCCCCCCTCCCCCCCCTGTGTTATAGAAATTTTAGGATCGCCCTCATTCACAGAGTCCATGTTCAATGAAGCTCGAGCGATGAAGGAGCGATCCAATGAAGGGGCTCATGGAGCGGGCGATCCTCTTCGATGCTTCTTTGATAGTGTAGACTCAACCGCCCTAGAAGAGGATGACTTAGAGGTGCCGAGGAAAAGTCCATCCTCAAAGGTTGGTGGACCGAGCCCGAGGTTGATCAATCGGTTCCCCACTCCGAGCACGGATCCTGGCCGTAAGCGATCAGTAGTTATCACCGTCTCGGAGGATGCTTGGGTTCTTTCCACCCCCGTCGGGATAGCTAGCTACCTCCGGTGCCTAGTAACCAAAGAAGATCATGTAAAAATGAACGAAGTGGATGCGCTATGCTTGTTCAATGAAGCGCAACAGGCACTGAACCGGGTAAAGTGTTATCACACTCTTTTATCTTTGAATTCAATTTTTGATGACTCTAATGCCTTTTCTTTTTCACATTCTGCAGGCCTCGGTGCTCCACCTTGAAACCTTTCTCCGGTACCGGGATGAGCTTAGCCAACTCAAGGCTGAAGTCAAAGAGCTTGCTGAGAAGAGGGAAATGTATAAGCTTCTCAACGAGCAACGTGAAGGAGAAGTCAAGAATCTCCGGGCTGAGTTGGACACGGCTAAAAAAGAACATGCCGCCCTAGTGGAACAGGTAAATATCTTTGAAGTTAGTGATGATGGGTTATGCATGGTGACTAACGGTCAAAACTCGCAAGTCCATCAGAAGCTTGATCGGATCGACCAGCTTCGAGCCGAGATGGACGAGGTCAAGGCCATGGCCGAAGAGTGGAAAAGCAAAATTGACCGGTTGGCTTCAGAAAAGGAGACTGCCCGGGAGCAACTGGCCTCGACTGAGGTCCAACTTCGAGCGGTGAGGGAGAAAGAGGAGCCCCGATCCCAAAAAATCGAAGACCTCCAGTCTCAACTGGGCTCGGCCGTTGCTGAACGGGATACCCTTGACAAGGATCTTAAAATAGCCAAACCAGCAGTGGAAATAACTAGGGCCGCTGTTGCAGAGATGGTGGCCCAGTACAGAGCTGACGCTGAGGTAGCCTAGGACCGCCTGAAAGTCACCGTCGAATACGTGAAGTGGCAGTCCCGAAGAGAGGCTCTCGAGGAAGTTCATGCCCGGGGTTTCGACCTATCGGCCAAGATCAAAAATGCTAAGAGGCTCAAGGCCGAGGCCAAGAAGTTGGCAGATCCCGAGGACGAGGAAGGCTTCGAGGGTTCCGGCGAATCCGTGGACGGAAAAGATCCTGATGATCCCGGTGATGAGACGGGCTCCAGCAAAGATCAGGCCTAGGTGCCTTGTAGATTTGCTTGTTTTTGTATTTTTGTATATTTTGTTGAGGCCGTTTGGCCTTTGTAAATATCTTTATATATATGCAAGGCTTTTCTTTTTTCCCTTTGGCAATTTCCAAGTTTGTTTCTTTTGGCTTTTTCTTTATGATTGCAAAGATTTCAGATGCCTTAGCGCATAGTAATAAGGTATTGTTTGGAGGTTCGAACAAGTCTTGTTCTCGATATAATATTGCTTAAAACTCGTGGGCGCTAGGTATTACCAGAAGCTTTCCCCAAAGTGCTCACTTAGAAGTTTTTAAATTATAATTTTACCGAGGGTAGCCTTTGAACCGGTTTGGAATTTTTGAAGGCCTTATGTTTTGGTTACAGGTTTCGAACGTCTCCGAGCCGTTTCTAGGATGGCCGTAGCCTTTTAAGTTCGGGTATTGCCCAATAGGCTTATTATCCCAGGCTTCGATATCCAAGCCGTCCGGGCTTGCCCAGGATGATACTACCCAAGTGGGGTCGGTCGTAGCGTTTAAAGTTCGGGCACTGCCTAATAGATTTTTGTGTCCCCAGGCTTCGACAGCCCGAGCCGTCCGAGTTTGCCTTGGACGACAGTCCCCGAGTTGGGGTGATCTCTTGGATCCGGATAGAGGTGGCCCTTGGGCTTGATGTCCTTAAGGAACAAAATGAGACAAAATATGCATTGTAGAGAGGGCTCAGATACTGTTGATACGACCATTGGCTCCGATTTAAAACTGGTCTTCGACTCTAAGTTAGCATGATTTATTGTTTCTCGTTAAAAACCTTGACGGAAAACCCATTTGGGACAAAACCGGTTCAAGGGAAAAAGAGTGCAACGCTTGCTTTCAGGCCTAATAACCGCATCATTCTTTGGCCGTTGCCTTCAAGTGTTAGTTCAATTCATAATATATGTAAAGAGAAGAATAAATGGGGTCGTACCTTAGCAGTAGTACCGTTATAAGTGGGTCACGTTCTAGTTGTTTGGTAGTCGCTCATTGTTCCCTGCTTCGAGCTTGTATGATCCTTTGCCGGTAATTTCGATAATTCGATATGGACCTTCCCAATTCGGTCCCAGCTTACCTTTGTTCGGGTTCCGGGTGTTTAGTTTCACCTTTCTTAACACCAAGTCCCCGATATTGAAGTGTCAGAGGTTGGCTCTCTGGTTGTAATACCTTTCGATCCGTTGTTTTTGGGCGGCCAACTGGACGAGGGCGGCCTCGCGCCTCTCGTCCAATAGTTCCATGCCCGTGCTCATGGCCTCATCGTTTGACTCTTCGGCCGCATATCAGAACCTAAGACTCGGTTCTCCTACTTTGACCAGTATTAGCGCTTCGGCACCATAGACTAACGAGAATGGGGTGGCCCAGGTACTGGATTTTAAGGTCGTACGATATGCCCACAGGACTTCGGGCAAAATTTCTTTCCATTTTCCTTTGGCGTCGGTCAACATTTTCATAAGATTTTGGAGTATGGTTTTGTTCATAGATTCCGCTTGGACGTATCCACTAGGGTTATAGGGTGTAGATAAGATCCTTTTGATTTTATGGTCCTCGAAAAATTTACTAACTTTACTGCCGATGAACTGCTTCCCATTGTCGCACACGATCTCGGCTGGCATTCCGAACTGGCATATTATGGGGTCCCAAATAAAATCAATAACTTCTTTCTACCTGACTTTCTCAAATGCCCGGGCTTCCACCCATTTAGAAAAATAGTCAGTCATAAATAATATAAATTGAGCCTTACCGGGTGCCCATGGCAGGGGACTGTCCATTCCCCATTTCATGAATGGCCAGGGTGACAGGACCGAATGTAGTAGCTCCCCGGGCTGATGAATCATCGGTGCATGCCTCTGACATCCGTCGCATTTTCGCATGAACTCCTTTGCGTCGTTCTCCATGTCGATCCAGTAGTAGCCGACTCTGATTATCTTGCGAACCAACGATTCGACACCTGAATGGTTCCCGCAGGTGCCTTCGTGAACTTCCCTCAAGATATATTTGGTATCTCCTGGTCCCAGACATTATGGCGAGCGGGCCATCGAACGTTCTCCTGAATAGGGTGTTGCCTCCGGACAAGCTGAACCTGGCTACCTTTGTGCGCAAAGCTCTCGATTCTTTAGGATCCGAGGGCAGTTTTTCGGTGTCCAGGTAATCTATATACTTGTTTCTCCAATTCCAGGTTAAGCTTATCGAGTTTATCTCGACGTGGCCTTCTTCCACTACTGATTTCATGAGTTGTACGACCGTTCCCGAGTTGAATTCATCATCGTCAACCAACAATCGTAAGTTAGCAAGAGCATCAGCTTCACTGTTTTGATCCTGAGGTACATATTGCAAAGTCCATTCCTTGAACTGATGTAACGTCACTTGTGGTTTGTCCAAGTACCTTCATATTCGTTCTTCTTTGACTTCGAACGTTCCATTGACTTGGTTCACCACAAGGAGGGAATCACACTTAGCTTCAATCACCTCAGCCCCCAGGCGTTTAGCCAGTTCCTGTTCGAGACCTGCAATCATGGCCTCATACTCGGCCTCGTTGTTAGTCAATTTTACAGTTCTAATAGATTGCCTAACTACATTACCCATTGGTGGCTTCAATACGATGCTAAGTGATGACCCATTTGCGTTCGAGGCCCCATCCGTAAAGAGGGTCCAGATTCTGGAGGAGGTCCCCGAGTTTAACAACAACTCCTTCTCGACCTCGGGTATTAGGGCCGGTGTGGAGTCGGCCACGAAGTCTGCCAAAATTTGGGATTTGATGGCGGTTCGGGGTCGATATTCGATATCGTACCTGCTAATTTTCACAGCCATTTGGCCAATCGTCCCTAGTGCTCGGGCTTATGCATTATGTTCCTCAATGTTTAAGTAGTCACGACACATATGGGATGGCATTGAAAATACGTTTTTAACTTCCTGGAGGTGCTTAGCAAAGCGATCGCCAATTTTTCAAGGGGAGGGTACCTAGTTTCGGCCTTTCCTAGAGTCCTACTAACATAGTAAATAGGAAATTTCATACCTTCCTCTTCCCGGACTAGGACTCCACTCATCGCTATCTCGGATACCACTAAGTACAGGTACAACTATTCATCTGCCTTCAAAGTATAAAGCAAAGGCGGGCTCGAAAGGTACGCTTGAGTTCTTCCAAGGCTTGTTGACAGTCCGGGGTCCATGAGAAATTCTTCTTCTTCTTCTTCTTCAATAACGAGAAGAACTGATGGCTCTTGTCGGAGGACCTTGAAATGAATCGGCCCAAAGCGTTTATGTGCCTGGTTAACCTCTGAACGGCCTTGACATTGTCCACCACGGTAATGTCCTCTATAGCCTTGATTTTATCGGGATTGATCTCGATTCCCCGGTTAGACACCATGAATTCGAGAAATTTCCCTGACCCGACTCTGAATGCGCATTTCTCCGGGTTCATCTTCATATTGTATTTCTTCAATATGTTGAAATTTTCCTGCAAATGTTTGAAATGGTCATTTGCTCGCAGGGACTTAACTAACATATCGTCAATGTAAACCTTCATTGATTTACCTATTTGTTCTTCGAACATTCGATTTACTAGGCGTTGGTAAGTGGCACCAGCATTTTCTAGTCTGAATGGCATTACATTATAACAATATATGCCGTACTTAGTGATGAAGGACATTTTTTCCTGGTCTCCCGGGTCCATCCCAATTTGGTTATACCAAGAATAGGCATCGAGAAAACTGAGGATCTCATGGCCGGCTGTGGCATCGATCATGCGATCGATGTTGGGCAAAGGGAAAGAGTCATTGGGGCAGGCCTTATTCAAGTCTTTGTAGTCTACACACATTCTTAATTTATTCCCCTTTTTAGGGACTACCACTATGATTGCTAACAAATCTGGGTACTTAACCTCCTGAATGGATCCTATTTTAAGGAGTTTCGATACCTCGTCTTTGATGAATGCATGCTTGACTTCGGACTGAGGCCTCCTTTTCTATTTGACCGGGTGGAACTTCGGATCCAGGCTCAACTTGTGAGTAGTTATTTCTGGCGGGAACCCTGTCATGTCAAGGTGGGACCAAGCGAAACAATCTATGTTAGCAATAAGGAATTTAATGAGTTTTTTCCTGAGCTCGGGATTTAACCCCGCGCCCAGGTATACCTTACGATCGGGCAGGTTCTCGATCAATATGACTTGCTCCGGTTCCTCGACCGTTGATTTGGCAGCGTTGAAATTGTCGGGGGCTATGAAAGACCTGGGAACTCCGTAGTCGTCATCCTCACCCGTCCCCTTGTCTTTCTGGTTCGGTCGGGGACGACATCAGTGATTTCTATTTGTTCTCTTCCTTGCCGACTGAACTCGGACCCTTTGGTATCGAAAGTGCGGATATCGGGATCACCTTATCGACCGCAAACATCTCCTTTGTGGCCGGTTGTTCTCTGTAAATTGTTTTAATCCCTCATGACATTAGGAATTTCAACACCTGGTGCAGTGTCGAGGGCATTGCCCTCATGTTGTGAATCTACGGCCTCCCGAACAGAGCATTATATCTCATATCTCCTTCGATCACGTAGAACTTTGCTTCCTGAATGGTTCCGGCGGTGTTCACCGGTAGTGTTATATCCCCTTTAGTGGTCTCACATGCCATGTTGAATCCGTTTAGAACTCGGACTGCAGGCACAATTTGGTCTTGTAGACCCAGCTGCTCTACGACTCTCGATCTGATGATATTAGCCGAGCTACCTGGATCAATTAACACACGCTTAACTCGAGATTTATTTATGAGTACAAATATTACCAGTGCATCGTTGTGTGGCTGCACGATGCCTTCAGTGTCCTCATCGTTGAAAGATAAGGTTCCTTCTGGCACGTAATCTCGAGTCCGTTTTTCCCTTGTAATGGATACTTTAGTGCGCTTCAGCATCGACCCCTGGGGATTTCGACTCCACCGATGATCATGTTAATGACGTGATGAGGTTCCTTCTGCTCGATCTGCTTATTAGAGTCCCTATTCCTGAAATG